ATATGTCCAACCTTGCATTACTTATGCATGATCGAACTTGACCTTGCCATCTTCTTATAATCAAATCCTACAAAGTAGTGTATTCAAGAGAAAAAGAATCATACCAATTAGTAGTGTACCCCTACAAAATAAAGGTCCTAACACGCGAAATATTTTGCTCATGGGATTATTTAATTTACACCTATTCAATAGAATATAATAATTTCTGCAGAACTCTATTTAATGACAGTAGAACTAAATGTCTAGGATGTGAACTTATCATGCATTTGATTTTCAGGAAACTAGTCATCATGAAGCGTTCATATCTTTTCTTTGTTTTCAATCTTTTCGTGATCATTGTCTCGTTTCTAGCAGAAGCCGATAATTTAGCTAAATCGAACCGTGATCGAGTTTATGTTGTGTACATGGGGAAGAGAAGTTCGCAAAATGGTGATCCGAGGAGCGATCATACTCATATTCTGAGCGAGCTCGATACAAGGTTAGTGGAATAATTGTACATTGAGGCACTTTACATGACTTGCATAACATAAAAAACTTTTAATGTAAGTGGTGAAGGTTTAGTTGATAATATAGTTTTGTCCAACTTTCACGTGAATTTTCTCACGTTTTCAGGAAGAAAAATTCAGTTGTGCACATCTACAACAGGAGTTTTTTGGGATTCGCGGCGCGTTTATCAGAAAAAGAAGCAAAGTCGATATCTGAAAAACAAGGAGTGGTGTCTGTTTTTCCCGACCGACCTAAACTGCAGCTACACACTACTCGTTCTTGGGATTTCTTGTGGCGGCTAAATGCTTTCAAAAATAATAATTCAACTCTTCCTGCAAGCCCTCCTTCTGTGACAAACCTGCCGGCAGGAGCTCACGATTCTATCATTGGTGTGATAGACGGAGGTGCCAAAAAACGGATTACCTCTCTTTAATTTGATCGTTGTTTTACAAAATAATATTTGAAACAATATTGGTCCAGGAATTTGGCCCGAGCACCCTAGCTTTGATGATAAATATATGGACTCGATTCCACGACGTTGGAAGGGAGAATGCATGCCGGGGGAAAATTCCACTTTTTTCTCGTGCAATAGGTAAATGATTAATAAGAAAAATAAATGTTGAATTTGAGTTTTTTTTTTCGTTGATTTGCAATAATGTTTGGGGACGGGGTGCGGTCCCTAGCACGTGAAGCGCACCATACTAGGGTGAGCCTAGATGCACCTTAGTGAGATTTCATTCCAAAACCAATTGGTAGTAAGAGGAGTAACCCGCTAGGCTTAAGTTAGACTTATTTTCCCTATAATAACGATGTGAGACAACTCACAAATAATATTAAATGCTTAATAAGAAAAATAAATGTTGAATTTGAATTTTTTTCGTCAATTTGCAATAATGTGTTTTGTAAGAATTATGGAGGAAATGGGTACGGTCCCGAACACGTGAACCACACCATACAGTGGCGAGCTTAGATGCACCTTAGTGAGATTCCATCTCAAAATCAATTGGTTGGAGGAATGATTTACTAGGCTCATAAGTTATGTCTATTTTTGTAAACGACGTGAGACAACTTACAAGTGATATTCGCGTGCAGGAAAGTGATAGGAGCACGATATTATGACGATACAGAGGAGCCGGGATATATCACGACGGCGAGGGATGAGGATGGGCATGGCACGCATGTTTCATCGACTGCAGCAGGTGTGCCGGTTTGTGGGGCTTCGTACTACGGGCTAGCCGAGGGGATTGCAAGAGGAGGCTCCCCGAGTTCAAGACTCGCAGTGTATCGTGCTTGTGGGTCAGACGGATGCTTGCCGTCAGGCGTTCTCAAAGCATTTGATGATGCAATTGGCGATGGGGTCGATGTGATATCTGTATCGGCGGGTTATAAGTACAATAGCTTTCTAGAAGATGCTATCGCCGTTGGAGCATTTCATGCCGTAGAGAGGGGGATCACTGTGGTATGCTCCGCTGGAAATGGAGGCCCTGCTCCAGGGACACTTGTAAATTTCGCTCCTTGGATCTTAAGTGTAGGCGCAACCACTATCGACCGTGTCTTTCAGGTCCGCGTTGTTTTGGGCGGAAAAATGGTGATCAAGGTATGTACCAAGTTTTGAAAAATCAAAAAATTATCACCTATGGCACATTATTTTTGTATTGTGTTTTTGTTTTGGAATATGATCCGACTAGGGTGGAGGCATCAGCATCTTGGATCCAAAGAAATGTGCAAATAAAATGTATCCTCTAATAGATGGGCTCTCTGCATCCAACACAACTAACACATTTGATGCACGGTATGGCATATATTAAAAATCGTAAAGATTTGGAAAGTGTCGAGCTGACCAAACTAATCGTATGGGCATGAGATGAAATACTAATATCATATGGCATATTTTCAGTAATTGTGTTCCAGGTTCATTAGATGATGCCAAAGTAAAGGGAAAAATTATTCTATGTGGATCCAAGGGTCCATCTCGACTCGATGACAGGATTATCACATTGAAGGAGCAAGGCGCAATCGGGGTAATATTGATCAACTATGTTATTGGGCAAGCGACACACTCATATGGAACTATTCTATTCGTTGTGGTTAATCTAGAGGACGGAGCTCAAATACAGTCTTATATCAACTCAACATGGTATATACGTTCGATTATTTCTGCTATCAGCTTCTCCAAAGGCTCCTCAGCCTATATTTTCCATATTTGAAGTGCTTCCAAAGTTTAAACAACATTTTCTCATTCACAAAATAATTATTAGCTAATCGAAACATTGTCTCCGACATTGATAGCAATCCCGTGGCAAAAATCTTACCAACTGATGCAGTACTGGATTACAAGCCAGCTCCAGTTATTCCATTCTTCTCCGCAAGAGGCCCTACAGAGGGCATCGGAAACCTTCTCAAGGTATAATAAATGTTTCTATTCCTAGATATTAATTAAAATTATTGGAATGCTAAAATCGTGTGTTTCCTTCCAGCCTGATGTTACTGCACCAGGAGTAGGCATAGTTGCAGCATGGCCACCTTTAAACGAAACGGCTGAGTATATCCCGAGTAAGGGACCACCCAACTTCAACATATTGTCGGGCACATCCATGTCTTGCCCACACGTCTCTGGTCTAGCTGCACTCGTCAAGTCTTATCACCCCAACTGGACCCCTTCTGCTATCAAATCAGCCATAATGACGACAGGTTAGATATAGTACACACAAACACATATTATACCAACTTATCAATGCTATTCGCACCATTTTAACAAAATCTATTGTATATTGTCATCTCATTTGCTGCAGCAACCCAAACAAACAACATACATACTCCAATTACAACGCATGATGGATCAAGAGCTACCCCTTATGACTTTGGAGCAGGGGAAATAAACCCGTTTGCCTCATTGAGTCCGGGTCTCGTCTATAAAACAGAAACCATCGACTACGTCCAATTTCTATGCAATCTTGGCTACAATGACTCCGCTATTAAAGTTATTGCATCAACTGTTCCTCATAACTTTCGTTGTCCTGACAACTCAAACTCGGATTTGGTGTCCGACATGAACTATCCTTCTATTGCGGTTTCCGGATTAAAGGCAAACAGGATGAGGACAGTGAAAAGAACCGTGACTAATGTGGGTGAATCATATTCAACCTACACGGCCACTGTGGATGCTCCTCCTGGTGTGCAGGTTCAAGTGGTGCCAAACAAATTGCATTTCACCAAGAATGTTGAAAAGCTAAGCTTCCGCATCATATTTAGAGTCGTTAGTGATCTTCACGAGCCTTCGTTTGGTTCAGTTTCGTGGTATAATTGGAGATACACAGTTCGGATTCCTTTTGTTGCAAGAAATTGACAATGAGAAGAAAAAAATTAAATAAATAGGATACATCGAACTCCATCTATAACTTCTATATCTATCTATAATCTATAATCTATATCTATAATCTATCTATCTATAATCTATCTATCTATATCTATAACTCCCTTAAAAGTATGAGTTGTTTCTTGAAACTTTTGAATTGCCAAGAATATCCTCATAAAAAGATAAGTGTTAAGGTTATTAATGTAATTTTCTTATTCATGCTAGGAAGTTACAACTTTTAATTATTATATTTTACTTTTAATTCTTAATTATACCTTTAAGTTCTTACACATACAAAACATTACCTAAACAAATTAATATATTTTAAATAATAATAAATTCTTAATTATATTATTCTGTATTAATCTACATATGATGTTAGTTTTCGATTTGGTTATTTTAAAGGCATTCTAAAATGTAAGAGAAAAATTATTTTAAGATTTCTTAAATAAAATATATGATATTTCATAAGTGTGAATTATATAATGCACCACTAAAAGTATATCTTTAATTTCTAAATATTATATTGTTTACCATACAAATTTTTTATTATAGTATTAAAACAATTAAACAGGAACAATTTAGTGAACATGCATATGTTTAAGAATGATTGAATCAAATATAATTATTCAACATACAAAATGTCAACTTTCTATGGAAAAAAGTTATTTGTTAAGTAAAAAAGATATGATCTTAACATATATATTTGTTTAAATTATTCACTAAAACAATATGCATAATATGATTTATGTTACCTCTTAATAGTATGTATAGTATAAATGTCTTTTATAATATTGTGTTACATGAATTAAAATAACATTTACTGAATTGTAATATAAACAAAAATAGATTAACTCCAGAAATAAAATAAAATAACTAAAATTCAATTTTGAATCTTGAATTTTATAATACGTGTATTCATTAGAAAATAGTTACAATTAAAATTAATTAAATAAAAATAAATAGTGAATTTACTTTAAATATGAATCATTCATTAAAACTAGACTCATTAAATTTTCACATTTAGAATAGTCTTGAAAATCTGGGAACGAAGATAATGCATGTATGACAATTTTAGGAGATGCAATAATAATTTATGTTGGACAAGATATGTAGATAGATGCGTATCTTTAATCAATAAATGTGTTATTATTTCTATGTTTTTTCATGTAATTTTTTTTAAAAATAATTATATGACTTTAAAGACATTTTCAAATATTTATGTGTCTCTTATGTCATTACTACTAGAGAAAAATTATATATATCTAGGTATTATGAAATGTTATACTTGCAAATATGGCTAATTGCAACCACTATAATCAAAATAATTGAGAACGAATTATTCAAATATAATGTTTTAGCTTCCAATCTACAATATAAAAATGATAAATATAAGTTATAGTTATAATAAATTCGAATTATTTTTCAAAGAGTATGATGCAAAATGATGACATTAGAAAACTATATTTGATGACAATATTAATGATAATTATTTTAAGCAAAAGTAGGGATGAAATGTTGACGAAGATATAAAAATAATGTTAAGATAAAAAAAAATATGAAAGAATCATCATTACATAATTCATTTAAACTGGAATTAGTAATTATTCACATTTAGGATAGTCTTGAAAAAAGTTCGTGAATGAAGAAAATGGATGTATGACAATGTTAGGAGATGCAACAATAATTTATGTCGGAAAAGATATATAGATAGATGGGTAGCTTTAATCAATAAAGATATTATTCTTATGCTTTCCAAGTAAATTTTCTTTTTGAAATAATTAATTAATTACGACTTGAATTAAAAACATTTTCAAATATTTATGTATCTCTTATGTCAATATGACTAGGGAATAACTATATATATCTAAGTATTATGAAATATTATACTTGCAAATATAATTACACTTGCAACCACAATAATCAAAATAATTGAGAACGAATTATTTAGACATAGTTTGTTAGCTTCCAATAGACAACAAATAAAAAATAATTATTATAAATTATAGTTATAGCAAATTTGAGTTATTTTTAAAGAGTATGATGTAAAAGGATGACATTAAAAAGCTATATTATGAAGACAATAATAGTGATCATTATTTTAAACACAATGAAGATATCATTAAATAATAAAATCAAAGACTATAAATTTTTTTAGCATTTACATTTTCACTAAAATAATATTAATTTTATTTTTTGGTTTTCAACCCAATTTTTTTTTTTAATTTTATTCATCATAGAGTTGAGATAATAATATTATATACTATATTTCATTATTCAATAAAATACACCATTTTTTGTTAAACTAAATTAAAGAAAATTATATTATACTTTTAAATATAAACATAATACTAAAAATAATTTTTTAAAAAAAAATACCACGTGCGCTACACGTGCATCTTCCTAGTCACTATAAATGTCTGTTTTGAACGGAGAATGCAAGAACTGTATAACAATACGAATGAATGAATAAGGCTAATCAGCAACAATATACACGATTTTTCTCTTTTGTTAGAGAAGCTAATGGTGATGAAGTCCCTAATATACAAGCTAATCTTGCATGTGATGATAATCAGCTGCTAAGGAGAATGAGTTGTAAGGCAAATAAATGCACTCTTGATCATGCACAAAGCATGGTACACATGCAGAGGGAAAGGACGAGCCATGCACGGCTGTTACCCAAGGTGAAAGTGATTTCACCTCATGACATCACCATGCAACCTCCATAAGAGACAAAATACCTAGTGGATAATTTTTGAATAGCATATTCCTTATTTATGTATTTGATTCTCTTTCTAGATTATTCTTCTCTATACATATTTAAGAGAGAGTTGAGCTGAGAAAATGTATCGAAAAAATCATTCAAGCATAATGAAAAATTCCTTCTTCATTTCCTGTTTTCTGGTTTTCATCTTTTTCAATATAGTATCAGAGCCCCGGGTTTAATCCTGGGGCCTGATCTTCACCCTCTTTTCTTTCTTTGACCCACGTCATCTTCCACCATGAGCTCTCTATTTCAAACCACATCAAGCCCTCATCAAATCCTTCAACCTCTCAGCCAACTCATCACAGTGAAGCTTATTTATTGTGTTTTTGTGCTTTTGTTCTATGTATTTTTGTGTGCTTTCGAGTCGATTCTAGGATTGTTTTAGGGTTGGCCGGTCCATTT